CTGATTATACATAAAAAGAAAAAAATTAAACTATACATATAATTGTAATCCGCGACATTATTGACGAGGAGAGGATGAAAGAGAGATGCAAACCGAGATAAATATAAATAAATGAATAAATAAATGAATAAATGAAGATATATAGATAGATATATATATACATAAATATATATATATATATATGAAGATATAAATATAAATAAGAGAATGGAGATCTTTTATTGATTTTGATGTACGCGAAACTGAACGACGAGCGAGGAGTGCGTGGCGAATATGTAAATAAAACGATGCACAGAATATTATTGTTCAGAGGAGTGTCTGCGATGGCGAGAAACCAATTTTTTTGCGCGACGAGTTCCGTCTTCATGGGGGTTACGATCGAGAGGGGCGCGACTGTTTCCCTGATATGTGATCAATGTGTTTTATTCGAGCTCCGAGCGAGAGTAGCTTCGCTTCGTGATCAACCAGACTGCCAATAACTTATTTCCAAAACGTCGACTAGGGTCTCGGCGATCGTTGGTCGAGTTTCGATTTTTTGACTCTTGAAATTCGGGGAAAGACTGGTCGATTGAGGTGATTCTTCGGTTTCTGATCGTGACTATTTGAAATCGTGGAATATTAGGCATTTTTACTGAAAACTGAGTGATCAATTTTGGGAGTCATGAAACTTGTTCTAATTGATCTCTTATAATATCGAAAGAGGTACACTTTAGAGTCTCTCAAACTAGCATTAGAATCTTGATTAATTATTGAACTATTCATTAATATTCATCACATATTTAATTTTTGTTTCAATTTATATTGATATACTATCTTCTCTTATCAACATCCAATCTTTCGGATGAATGAAAACTTAAGAGTACAAATCCTGCTTCATTCAACTAAAAGTAATTCTCATTACGCCGATAGATTGAAGAATCATCTCGAGTCCTCCATTTACAAACCCGACGCGGCCAAAGAAGACACAAGGAAAAATCGCTTCGATTACCGTTCAGACGAGACCACATTCAACAAGGCACTGCCACACAGGACCAACAAAAAAGGGGGTGGGTCGCAGCCGGAACGGTGAGGAAACGAGAGCAGTGGGAGGACGAACCGCGCGCAAACACGGCAAGGGAACCAAATACCCTGACGATCATTCGAAGGAGAGCGTGTGTCTGCGTGAGAGCGTGCGAGAGAGAGGAACAGAGCGTGTGATGCCAGTTACCCTTCCACGTGTACCATGAAAGTGTGGGTGTGCATCCGCGTGCGTGCGCGAGAGCCTGAGGAACGGTGCGGTTGCGGACGTGGTTCGTTTTTATTCGGCAAACAACGTCTTTGTATACTCTGCCGGTGTTCTAGTGAACAAGCAGGATCATGGTTCTTGTATATGTACATCAGTATCTCGATAGTAGCCGTAAGCCTAACCAATGAGTCGCGGATTTGCTGTGCGACGAACGACAAGAATTCGCTCTCAACGCTAAACGATTCGGTTGTTCGAATCGTGCGTTCGATTTTCGTGAATCTTTCTAATAAACGAACAACAAGGATAAAGATAGGTTCGATTTTCAAATGAAAAACGGGATAAAGAGGACGATCGTAAGTTTGACGGTAAACGATCGAGTATCTCATGATCGTGAGAGGACGATAAAAGAGGTCGCGAGCGTTCGTCGGGGGCAGATCCGCGGCGCGTCGTCATTTAACATTACGTAGTGAGTTTTCGATGTCTTCGAGCATAATTACAGTTTGTACACATCACACAATACGCGCGCACAACCGACGTACCCACGCGTCACGGCTCGGTCAGGCTGACACAGTTCGAGAATACGGTTCAGAGGGGTGGCACGGTTGGGATCCCGCCGCCGTGGTTGGAGCCGGGATTCGGGACGCGGTCAGGACGGATGCAGGACACAATGATAAAACTCTCTACAAGATTTACATGTTGTCGTGTAAGCAGTTCTTTCGAAGTCGAGTAGCGACGAAATACGAAAACCGTAAAGTGAAACTCGTGAATTCGCTCATTCATCGATTCCCATTTTGATTGTATAACGTTAACACGCCGTTTCATTGTAATCCGTTGGGGCGGCAACGACACGCTGCCGCCGTCATTTGTAACGATATACGATTATATTGGTTAATAAAAGTTATCTAGATGTACACGAGCGGGCTCGCGTCTATGCGTCGTTCTTTCAGCTCCTTTTTCAGGGTGGTTTCCCATCGGCGAGGGGTTGTTCGATGGGAATATTTTTTGGTAAGCAGTGGAGTTAGAGGGAACTTCAAAGGGATGATTTTTAGTAATATTCTATAGATATTAATAATAATTGTGTTGACATATTCAAACAAAACAGTCAACTATTGAACTACATAAGACAGAAACCTCTTTTTAGCGACACTGCACTTACAAGTACAAAGGGGAGCTTATACATTTCCTATCAAATTCCACAACGTCAAAATTCTCCCCCAGAACCAACTTTTCATGTGCAGTTTTATAAAGTTCAGTAACTGGCTTTTCGATTCAGGTAAAGTCTGCTAATTTATTGAAGTATTTTTGACGATGTCTCTTTCAGAATAGTATCCATAAAAATAGTACAGTCTGCACGTGCCTTAAGTCTACATACTCAGTCTGTACATAACTTAACCCTTTGCACTCGAGAGGTGACTCTCAGTCACCACGTGATTCGATACAATAACCTCCCACCTCTGTTGCTTAATTTATCTATCAATCTATCTATCAGAAAATGTTCAATATTTCCATTGAGAAACTTTCGAGTGCAAAGTGTTAAGTCCAGATCACGTTGCAATCTCACAAAGTTCAACACCCAGCCGTTGCATCCAGAGTCCGCTACTGCACTTAGCCATTCCCCAGAGCGTCGATAATTCAGAGCACTCCACAGAAAACCGCACAAAACCTTCGCCAGTATTCCAAGTGCACACAGAACTGCAGTGAAGCTCGTGCTCGCAACGGCAGATGGCGAGACGAGACCGTAACCGTCGATGCAGCGGCAAACTCGCCGCTTTCAAAACTCCCAGAACGAACGCTTCCAACAAAGTCCGAAGACTCCATTCCAAAATCCTCTTAACAAATACGTTAACGTAACATCCAGACCGAACTGACCCACGAAGATCAATCGAATACACCATTGGGAACTAGCCGAGACACGTTCTCCAAGACACCGGGACATCGCGGAGGATGGGAAGCGTTGAGAACCGGGCCAGGAAATAACGGGTACCGCGGGCAGCAGGAAACGCTGGTATCGAACAACGAGGAGAACGGAGTCGTAAAATAGCAGCCGAAGTGAAAAGAAAACAAAAGAGAAAGCCGCGGCCCGCCGGTGTGGGAATAATGCGCGTATCGTCGCCGTTGTCGGAGAGTCGTTCACGGCGAAGGGAGGCTGGACGGCCGGTAAACAATTAGTCGCGCCGTATGGCGATGAATCATTATTAAAGACGATGACGGGCCGACTGTCCCCGGTCATTCGAGCCGGTTTCCTGGCGGGCCCCTGTTAGCATGCGACGTTAATTTGCGTAAGGTGTGTTTTCGGGTGCCCGGCTGAAAGGCCGGCGTATGTGGGTGCGCGACAGAAAAAGGAGATGATGAGCCGCGGAAGAGCGAGCCACGCCGCTCATTTGCCTTTCAATGCTACCGGCTCTCTCCCCCTTTCTTGTCATTGTGCCAACGACGCGACCATTGTCGTGCCACCGTACACACCGTGTATTACCTACCTGTTCGCCCGTGTTCCCGCCGGCGTGGGTGGCGGCCGGCAGCCGTCTCTGCTGGCTTCCTCACCAGGAACTGTGTTCTTCGTTTCCTGCGATGTTTTCGGGGTTTGCACGGTTCGCACTGTGCGACTTTTAACCAGTTAACTGTGTTTGACGAGCATACGCGCCATCGTAACGCTTCACGTGATACTAATTCTTTCACCGATGAATTCTTCATTTTTTCATATAAACATGTAATTCTTTGTTTCGCTTTGGTCTTTCGTCCTGCGTTCGACGAGTACACGCTCCATCTTTCGATCTTATTG